TATGTGTGATTGTCCGGCATTGGCCAGACTAAGCCTGAAATACTTCAGTTCTTCCACATCGCTTACAAAAGAAGCAAAGTTTTTGCTAGGTCTGCGCCGACATAAGCGTACAAAAAATGCATCATTAAAAAATATAAAAATATGTACATACATATGTATGTATGTAGTATGCACTTCGATCATAACGCAGACTTTTTAAAAATATTTTAAGTTGCAAAAATTCGTTTGTGCTCGAAAAATGTGTATTTTATAACATCTTTAAACTAATTCAATTAACTAGAACAAATTTTTCCAAAAAGCTCTAAACATAATTTAATTTTTTTCTACATCAAGACTAAAGAGGAATCTATGTATATGCTTACATACATACATAAGTACGCGAAGAGTTCAATCAAATGTTCAGTTCAACCTTCAAAATTGCAATAAATATGCGTATTATATTTTGCTTTGCTCCAATGCTTTTCATAATTAATGCAACCATATGTACACGTTATACTATATATACATACATACATGCTTCCCTTATTAGGTATATGTACGTGTACTGAAAAATCACAAATTTCCAAGCTCGACTGCTAAGCTTTTACCCCGGAAATCAAGGGTCACCGAGTTATCAACGCTGAACACATTATCGCCCCCCACAATTACCAACGCTCGACCAGCCTTATATTTATTGCTGTAGATCATAGCTCATTTGTCAGTTGACAAAAACAATTGCGTTGTCCCCAGCCAGCAAATGTTGTTATCAGTTATGAAGTCGCGAGCCACCTAGATGGAGGGGCATTTACCGAAGTAGTATACGTGAAATTTTTTGCGCACATTTATGTAAAGTAGGTATTACGAGTATTTACTATATACATTTGTACAAATGTTTAGTTAATAGGTGCCTAAGTTAAAGCATTCGGGTGGACTATATTTATATCATTTTACGCAATGGTATTATTTGTATATTTTAGGCCATGAGAACAGAAGTGGCCTAACCCAAAAAAAAATGTGTTTGTACTTACCTACTTAGAATAGTCTCAAATGTGATAAATTTTAAAATAAAGGTCGCTTATTCCTTAATTTGATGGTACGCTATTTAGCCTTGTATCTTAAAATTAAGGAACAAGCGTTTTTTAATTTAAAATGAATAACATTTTAGGCTATTTTAAATAGGTAAGTACAAACAAAAATTTGGGTTAGGTCTCTTCTGACCTCACGGCCTATTTTCCCAAGTGCACAATTCTTATGAAAAGCACTACTGTATTCTATTTTAATTGACCAAAGAAAATATGGAAAATGCGAACGCTATATCATAATCTAATATTTATATTTGTAGACTTGGATCGTCAAAATATGTAATGTGATCAGAAACATAACAATAACATTTTGGCGCGTACACTTTTGTAAAGGGACCTAGTGTTTTACGCCGCCTCCCAACGGCAAACAGCTTTAGAAACTGTTTTCCGGTAAGTTTTTTTTTGGATGTTGCTTTGACCATGGCTCGAAAATTGATCCTACGGACAGGTAGTACGCAATCCACACCACACGGCTGCAGCGGCCGCCTCAAATACATAATTTTATAAAATTTAAATGATGAAGATTGTCGGTTACCAATACGTGGACATTTACATTGAAATTCTCAGAAGGCTAAGTGGTTTAAATAAGGGCTACGTCAGTTCTGCCTTCTCGGGATTAGATAGAACGGGGACAAAACGAAGTAGCTCCTGCTATCACACAAACATTTAGAGCATAGGCATCTGGACACCACAACACTGTCGACTTCGTGTTTATTTGGGAACCAGCGGGCCAATTATCGTTTAAGCTAGAAGTCTCGACTACTATCACGAAAAATACCATCCCTGCACCTTGACTTGATGGTCACTTATAGCCATTTATTGAACAGCAAAACCTGATTTTGGTGAAGTTTGAGTAACCACCGCACTTAAACATAAGGTGATAGAGCTTTCCACTTAGGCTCAAATCAAGGCTTGAACTTTCGACTATAATCCCTTAAAATACCAACCCTGAACCTTAACCCTAAGGTCACTTGTAAAATTTAGTTTGGAGACAAACCGGTTTTGGCGTTGTGCCATCTTCAGTATCATTTTTCGTTCTGAATAGTTTCTGTTTGTCCGTCACTACTTATAGCCGTGCTAAATCGTCGTCGGTTCTTAGTCTCAGCGGACTATATTCTTTCGTTCAACCAGTGGTTTTTGTTCTGTGCATACATCCTCACGGTAGAAATCAGCTGCTCACTTCTTCTTGATTAATTGTTGCATGGATTCGTAGGTAGGTAAAAATCAGTTATTTTCTTTCTCTTTGTTTTCGTAGTATGGGCTTGCGTTTCATTGTTTATGGGCGTCGTAGGGTTACTGCCCTGTTTTGCGTATAGTAGCCTGAGTGGTTCGCATATGATATATTATCAGATGCGGTGTTTATTTGTTCATGTATTATTTTTCCGATGAAAGTCTTTTGTTTGTATATCTCCATTTTCTCTAATACGTTTAGGCGTTGTCCTTTGTGCTGTACATGGAGAAATTTGACTGGCTTTCCTATTTTCATTGGTGTTTACTAGGCCCTTTCTGTATCCGTTATTTTCCGCGATTGCGTATATCGTATTTAGTTCTTTGCTGTAAGCTTCTTTATCCAATGGGGTTCGTTCAAGCCTGGTTATTAGATGTCTGTGCTGTTGAGGTTGGTTTGAAGTATTGTGTATTATCGTGTCTGTGACCGTGGAGTTTCTATATATCCCGAATTCGCTTTTGTTGGTAACCTTATTGATTTTCATTGTTATGTCCAAATAGTTTATTTTTCCTTCGTTTTCCTTATCTATAGTGCAATTTATATTCGTGTCTTCGTCATTGAGATAGCATAGAATTTGTTCTTCCCTCCCGTTGCAAGAGATATGATGTCATCGACGTATCTTGCGTAGAACTTTACTTCCAGGTTGCATGAACTCTTCCATTAAAATTGCGGATGTGGGATTACCCATTCCTAGCCCGTTAGTTTGTCTATATATTTTGTTATTAAACTTGAAGTAGTTTTGGTCTAGTGTTACCCTCAATGTATTCACGATTGGTATCGATGGGTAAAGATCCTTAACATCAAATGATACAAATTTCGCATCTTTGGGTATGTCTAGCGATTTCACTTATAGTTATTTATTTAACAACAGCAAAATCTGATTTTGGCAATTATTATTTTTTCAATAGCACAGTACTCTAGTATTTTTATATGTATTGCTCAATAAACGGCTATTAGTGACCATCAAGTCAGTCAGTGAGTTTTTCGGAAGAGAAGTGTACACAATTTTGACAGTTAAAACTCATTCTCACACTTCCTGAATCGGAAAATGCAGAGTGCACACAATTTTCAGTGTACACGTGAAAACTTACAGTTACTGAACCCAGCCCCAGGTGGGTAAGGATTTTGCTTCACTTGGCATTTCCAATTGGCACAGAAGAGAAATGACTGGCGGGGTGTTTTGGACTCGGCTGAAATCGCTGAGGCACAGCATACGCCGCCCCTTTGAAAATCAGAGCAAAACAAAAGTACAACAAACACATCATTTTGACAATCAGTACAATTCGCCTTGGAATCGGCTGCTCTGGAATCACCTTTTAATTAATTCACCTTGGCCAAAAATGTGAACCACCCTTCTGAAACTCAAGCCACTGCCCCTGACATATAAATGTACATATAGGTCGCACGACTGCAGGTTTTTACCGTTCCGTTCGAATTCTGCAATCTCATGATCTGCCTATAAAATTGTATAAGTGAATTTAATTGGCAAATAATATCAGCAAGTAAAATTCAAACAATTCTGGAAAAATTTATATACATAAAAACCGTCATCTAAGCGATAACAGTACAGTACCAGATGCCCATAAAAGTTAATCTTCAATATAAATTTTTGAGCGGGGTCAGGGTTTTTCTGAAATATTTTTATATGAGTAAAAAAAATTCCATTTGGCGTTGATTTTAAGTTTTAGACAGAAGGAGCAGCCGCTTTAAGAAACAAACATAATGGAATTACAGCATACAGCGACCTATTTTTTCTAAAATTTTGTAAAATTTATATTTTTATTTTTAAATTTAAATGTAGATGAGTTTTTCACTTAGTATCTAGTGACTAGGAAGGTATGCACAAAAAAAAAATTCAATTCATCACATCTAAGGCTCCGATAAGATTAGATTATATTGAATATAGACGAAACTGAAGTGATTCACGTTACAGATAACAATATACGAGGATAGATAAGCAATTACTTAGTAGTATACATACTTAACTATTTTTTAGCCACAATACATGCATACGTATGCAGTAAAAAATTCGTCGTAAACGTTCGTCGGTTATGCAAATGTAAAAACTTGAATAAAACTAATGAAAACAAAAGGTAAAAAAAAAACTTGGCCGAATCTCATTGGTGAAAAGTGATGGGCTCGTCTTGTTCAGATGCAAATATGTATGTATGTATATAATAATGCAAGTATGAGTGGCTGTAATCTACGTATGTATGTATATACATATATAAGAATATATGTACACGTGTATATGTTTATACAATGTATTAAGTAGGCGTGTGATAGCGTCTGAACGATACAGTCGAAGAAGCAACGGGTGAGGAGTATGCCAACTTCGTCTGTTAATCAACAAGAAAACACCCATATGCATACATATACATATATGTATATATGTACATCAATACATCGCACATCAATACTATTTACCTCGTCATGGTCAGCTGATGAGTGTATGTATGTATATATGTATTAAGCTGCTACATACGTAGGTGCTTTTTAATTGACTTTAGATATGGAGGGTTATCAACTCGACAATTGGGTGTGGCATATTAAAATAAATATTTAAATCCTCATTTATTTAGTTAAACTCAATTCATTTTAATCATAATAGTGCCATTCGCAAGAAGAAAGGAGAACCAGCAACATTAGTGGCACATAATGGTAAGAGGGTGAGTGCAATTTTAAAGTAGTTTATGACTCTGTATACTTACCTAGGATGCAGCATAAAATAACAGCAATAATGACAGCCTGGAGATCAAGCGAAGAAGAATTTTTTCCAACAGGACCTATTTTGTGCTAGGTAAGCAATTAAAAAGTGAGGCCCATTCCCGGCAAAAGTGACATCGACAATCTCGAACAATAACACGGTGCTACAAAAAAAAAAGTTGTATTTACTTTTTTGTCATTCAGTTGAGGTAGTAGAGTAGGTCTAGTAGTATAAGATTATCAGAATCCGCTGAAAACTGTACAATTTATGACCGGTGCACAGTGTGATATTTCAACAATTTAGGTGGACAAAATTATATGTGGATATTTTTGGGGTATATTTAGGATGCTGATTTTCCATAAAGATACTATCCGCTTTCTCAGTTTGGTCGTTGCTTGCGAATTTTCGGTTGCTGAAATTTGGTAAGATATGCTTTCCATCAGCATATACAAAAAAGTGCAATAAATTTTTGTTTTCGCCTACTAAGGAAGAATTATTGAAGTTTCTTCTGTTTTACAGTCATTTTGTGATATTTCGACAATCTATGTGGAAATAGACTAATTATAATAAAAGACAATACTATTTTTAATGTACATACAAATTTTGTAAAAAAAACTGACATTTAAAGCATAGAGTTTAATTTTAAAATATTCTAAATTAGGGGAGAATCTGTTCATATTTCGACAATTTAAATGGGCAAAATTTTTTTTCTAGATGTTATAATGAAAAAAAAATAAGAAAAAGTACTTATTTATTTTGGAACGAATATAACAGGGAAACAATTTTAGAATAAAGGATTTTTTGTAAATTCTTTTGATTTATTTTAAAGCCTGTTCTTTTTCAAAAACATTAAGCTATCAACGAAGAAAACTGATTGATAATAAAGGTATAAACACTTTAGTAAAAACAAGTAAAAAGTAAAGTAAAGTAAAGTAAAAAAAACCGACTTAAAGAAAAAATATATATATATCTATATATTTCATGATTTAATGATCCGATCTAAACCAAACCACCACCTCTGAGACACTACCTTTCCGCTGCAAAAATAAATTATCGAAATCGGTTGACTTGGTGCAAAGTTATGTGGTAACATACATAAAAAAAAAACAAAAAAAAATATTCCGACGAACTGATAACCTCCTCCTTTTTTGGAAGTCGGTTAATAACTACTTACAAAAAGTTTCCATCCAGATTTATGATTTCATTAATAGTTCATACATGGCGTATGAGTAACATATTTTCCTAGTAATGTTTTTCTAAAAGAGAGATTATTACGAATTTTTGACCGACTCGGAAAGGTAGTGTCTGAGAGGTGGTCCCATACTAACCTGGTTTAGAGCCCATCATTGGATCATGAAATATATATATATATTTTTTTTTTAAGTCGGTTTTTTTTGCTAAAAATTACTTGTCATTTTACCATTTACAACTTTATTTACCAATAAATTTTCTTCCTTGATAACTTAATGTTTTTGTAAAAGAACTGGCTTTAACACAAATCAAAAGAATTTATAAAAAAAAAACATATTTTAAAATTGTTTCCGTTAATGTTTGCATTTTTTCATTCACAATACAAACATCAAATGAAAATATCTTGCGAAAATGACTTGAACGGTATACGGGGTCGTAATCTACGACCCAAAATTAAGTTTACGTGTTTCTGCGTTTTTTTTTTTTTGGTGACATTTCAAAATTCGACATTTTCCTTACAGTGTATTTAGTCACCGATCACGTGGATGCCTTAAAAAACCGCGCGGATAAGAATTGAAATACACAAAAAGCAAATTAAATTGCAATAAGAATTCTTAAAATTTTTTTTAATGAAAATATTTTAAGTGTTTTATCGCTAAAATGTCAACCGTTTACTTGTTATTTGGTTTTGTGTTCATTTTCGTAATAGTGGTTTAATTTTGTATCATATATGTAAAAATAAAAGAATTCAGGGCATACGTTTTTAATACGTTGATCCACCTATTTTGTTCAAATATCGCACTTTGCGCTGTTTTGACCCAACATCCCGATTTTCAGTTTTTTTGATCATAAGTTTACGATTTTGGGGGGGGGGGGTATTTTGAATTCTGATAGTTTCAAAAATCTTTTTTAGACCTGTTTTACCATTTTATAGAATATCTCTGTAAATATATATATATTTTTCCAGTAAACTTTGTTTGATTTGAGTTCCCGGCGGGAAGTTTTTCCCAAAACGTTATTTTTTTATTTTTTTTTACCATTCCTTATCCTCAAAGGTACATTAGATTTTAGAAAAAAATCATATGCCTAGCGTACACATCAGTAAGACGATGTATCGATTTTGATGTTGTAATGTTATTTATCCCTTTTTTGAAGGCACCGTTCATTAATAAAACGCCGATTTAAAGGATATAACTTCCTCTAATACAATAAATGTTAATCCCGATACAAAGGGGCGTGGCGTCTGACATATAGATATATAAAATGTGAAAAACACTATATCTCTAAAAGCAATTAAGCTGGGGTACAGAAACTTAGCAAAGATGCATAGATTGTAAATATCCTACTTACGGTGAAAAATGGTAGATACTGGGAAAGTGGGCGTGGCACTTCCCATACAAACTGACATTCTCTGGAACCACTTATGCTAACGTTCTGAAATTGGTCACAGTAACATATGTTGTCATTACCGTACTTACGGCGAAGAGTGGTAGATTTTGGAAAGGATGGCGTGGCACCGCCCACCACTTATTATAAGGTAATGGAATTTTATACACCTACATTTATACACATATAAAATCGCATTGAATGATTGTTGTTTTGTGCAAAAGTTTTTGGAAGGATCAGTCCGATAGGTGGCGCAGAGATTGAGAGTTAGCCTAAAAAATCATAATTATGATCAGATTTATTTCACTTTTAGAACACATATTAGTAACATAAAATTTTGTGTAACTTGGTAGCCCAGTCGTGTGATGAAAAAATAAAAATATTGGGCTTTGGCTCAGTCTTGACAAAAACCCGTGTGAAACCGCCGATAGGCAAGGAAATATTATCTTTTGTTGCAAACCTTCAATATACTTTCTCAACCGTTAACGATTCTGATTTATGTAGATGTGGGAAATTTAGTTTTTAACCCCCAAGAGGCTCTCAGACAAAATATAATCGAAAACCTATTTACAGTCTGAATTGGTATATGTTTGACATATTAGTCAGTGATGAACAGAACATCTCATCTATACATACAAATACATATGCATTTTTTTATAAATGAAAATCGAGGTTCCTTTTTCGGACTAATTTCAAAAGCTACTGAAGAAATTTGGAGGAAACTTGGTAGAATTGGCATTAATCAATCCGGTATTAACGTTCATAATTCGATTTTAAGTTTTCCTGTTAATTAGCTATAAATTATGCTGGTGGACTTCAAATTAGTCATTCGCATAAAGGAGTTATTATTGGTGACAAGTAAAATTCAAAAGTGTACGAAAAAGATGCCGCATTTCGACAACTGGGCGATACTAGTTTTAAAGAATAGGGGACTTTCTGCACACAATTTTTTTCTCTTGCAAAACTATATATCTACATTCGTAGTTACAGTCACGTGAAAAATAATTTGTTTGTTTAATATTTATTTTTGTTTTTTTTTATAAAAATACCAAAACATACTTTTTATTAAGAATTTTTAGAAAAATTCTGAGTACGTGGTTATATAGCCCATTAAATTCTAGCAACTTAAGAAAGTGAAATTTTCAATTGATTTTTGAATTTTTTTTTTGCGGATGGCGTTATTATTTTCTTCCAAATAAAAAAAAAAACTTTTTGAACATACTTTGTATGGAAGAAAATGCAAAACGCCGTCAGCTAATGAGCTGTATTTTTATAAAAAAAATAATAAACATTGAACAAACAAAAGAAAAATAGCCAAAGCCGGTCAAAATGTGGTGTTACCATTATTTTTCGCATGACTATATGTATATGTACATATGTATGTAGGTGGCCGGATGGGAGTGTACATAAGGCAAGCGAAATATTAAAAAAAAATAATAATAATATAAAATACTTAAGTCTGGCGACGTAAATGTGAACGTATATACATACATACATACATGGATGCTATGCATGGATGTGTAAACATTTGCCTTATTTTGTAGTCGAAATTGTTTTATAAATTTTTCTTTTGCCATCCTACTTTTTCAGTTTCATCTCGTTTTCGAACGTACTCATCTTTTTTCTCCTCGTATTTTTTTTTATAGCAGTCACATGAATATATTAAGAATATGTTTACTTAAGTACGTACAAATATGTATGTATATATGTATGTATTTATGTATATATGTATGTATGTATAAATATTTATAAATATACATATATATACATAAATGACTTAAATATACTACATTGATGTATTTACATACGTACTATACATACATATACGGAGAGCGTACGCAGGTTGATATGTACCAGAATATTATCAGTACCAGCCCGCTAATGAAAACATAATGTTCTTGTATACTTATTTCTTATTTATTTTTTGGGGCATTTTATTATTTTGTGTTTCATTCCAATTTTCGAATATAAACAGCGCGTCAACAAATTTCTTAAATCATTTGGTGCAAGGCATTATTTAGAAAAAGACATACAGGGTTCAGCAATAAAGTAATTTTACTATATGAAAAATAATATAGTACAAGCAGATTTCGTTGTAGTGCCCAGTCCAAGTGATAATTTGTTTTAGTAGTTATTTGAAATACATATCAATAGCGGACTATATAGAAATCAGACTCGTCTGTACTTAAATTGTGATAGCACCATATTTATAATAAATATATTTGCCATTTGTTCAACATTTGGATCGACGAAAAAAAAAACATTTTAATTATTACTAGCTACTGGAAGAACCATTTAATTAAGCTATTTTGCATTTAATTGAATTGAGACTACAAAAACAGAAAATACTATAAATATTTACATATATATAAATATTCATACATACTACATATATAAAAGTGAATATTGATTGGTAATCTTGAAGATTGCGTGGAAATAAGCAGAAATTATTCGCTTGTGTACATTTTGTCAGCGGCAGAAATTGATTTATTAAGTTCCATACGCATTGACGATCACACTCAGTTGATTTGCAACTGCGAGCGCATTACGTAGACAAATGAAAGCAGCTGCAACAAAGTGTTCAAACCTAAACCGTTATCATACACGTAGTTCCAAAGTTCCTGTACAAATTAAAAAGTAAGTAAGTTTACATATTTCCTACTTATTATAAATTAATCGCATACAAA